TGGCAGCAGTGACACTGGGCTGAAGTCCAGGCCTGGGGACAGTGGCAGACAGCTGAAATGACAATAATCCCTGGCCTCCATTAAAAAAACACACACAACACCCTGGCCTTTTTGCCCCGTTGCAGTGGCCAGATGGAGTGGCGGAGGCTTCTGGGAGTGGCTGCAGCATTACAGCTCTCCTAATTCATGTGTGGCCTGCACTGGGCCTCCAGAGTCTCCCCTCCCATCCATGCACTTCTTCCCTGGGTCTCCCTTCTCTTAACAACCCACAACATCACTTAACAACTACTATAACAAAAGAGTTTTCTTCCTAGTGATGTGGGGGCTTGCTCACTGGAGATTTTTTTCTAGATTGTTATGAGGTGCTAGAATAAGGGGCTGGATTGGAAGATCTTCATAGCCCCTCCCAAGTCTCAGGAGAAAATCTCTACTTTTCTCAAAAGGAAATATTCTGCATTTCTTTTCTTTTTTTTCTGACAGTGGATAAAAGATTGTGACCAAAGATTTACCTGCAAGACAACTATCAATGGACAATAGAAATTCAGCCCAAGGCAGCAACCGTCAGAAAGGATGGAGCCTGAGAAACTCTTGGATCCCCCATCAGACCCAAGCAGCGCTTCGAAAAAATCCAAAAAAACACATGAATGTGGGAAATCCTTTGCTGGTAGGTCCTTCCTTTTGACCCACAGGAAGATCCATGTGGGAAGTGGATCCAGTCAAGGTTTGGAGGGTGAGAAATCCTTCCCGGGAAAAAACTCCAAAGATCTCAGGAGATCCCCTAGACTAAAAGCTTATAAATGTGAGGAGTGTGATTTATGCTTTGGTCAAAAGTCAGACCTTCTTACACATCAGAAAATCCACACTGGAGAGAAACCTTATCAAGGTCTGGAATGTGGGACATTTTTCTGTGAAGAAGCCCATCTCAGAAACCACGAGAGAATCCACACAGGGGAGAACAACGAAAAGTGCCTTGAATGTGGGAAATGTTTTTCCACAAAATCAAACTTGTTGCAACATGAGAAACTTCACACCGGAGAGAGACCCTATGAATTCCCAGAATGTGAAAAACAACTTGTAAATTCTTCTGAACTTCAGAAACACCAGAATGGGCACAATGAGGAAAAACCCTATAAATGTGGGGCGTGTGGAAAAAGTTTTCTGGAACAAAGGAAGCTTCAGAGTCACGAGAGAATCCACACAGGGGAGAAGCCATTCAAATGTGTAGAGTGTGAGATGTGCTTTTCCGATAAATACAACCTTGCAAGGCATCAGAGGGTCCATACAGGAGAGAAGCCCTACAGATGCGTAGAATGTGGAAAATCTTTTGCTCGAAATGGAACCCTTTGGAATCATCATAAAACCCACACAGGGGAGAAGCCATATCAATGCAATGAATGTGGACAATTTTATCGCACCGCATCAGCCCTTAGAAATCATGTTAAAATTCACGCAGGGGGAAAAAAATTCAAATGTTTAGAATGTGGGAGAACATTTGCTTATTCATCTAATCTTAGAAGTCACAGCCGAATCCATACAGGAGAGAAGCCCCATAAATGCTCGGAGTGCAATAAATATTTTTCTCAAAAAAGTAATCTTGTGATACACCAGCGAATCCACACTGGAGAGAAGCCTTATCAATGTCTGGAATGTGGGAAATATTTCCGTGAAAAAGCCACTCTCAGAAACCATGAGATGATTCACACAGGGGAGAAGCCTTACAAGTGTTGGGAATGCGGGAAGAGCTTTTCACAGAAGGCAAATCTTTGGGTCCATGAGAAGATCCATGCAGGAATCAAACCTTACAAATGCTTTGAGTGTGGAAAATGTTTCACTGAGAGTTCATCTCTTCGCAGCCATGAGAAAACACACACGGGGGAGAAAAATGAAAAGTGCCTCGAGTGTGGGAAATGTTTTACCTTGAAATCCAACTTGCTGCAACATCAGAAACTCCACACCGGAGAGAGACCCTATGAATGCCCAGAATGTGAGAAACGATTTGTAAATTCTTCTGAACTTCAGAGACATCAGGAATGGCACAAAGAGGAGAAACCCTATAAATGTGGGGAGTGTGGGAAAGGTTTTATTTCTCAGTACCGTGTTCAGATTCATCAGAGAATCCACACAGGGGAGAAGCCGTACAAATGTGGGGAGTGTGGGAAATGCTTTAACCAAAAATGCGACCTTGGAAGGCATCAGAGGGTCCATACGGGAGAGAAGCCTTACAGATGCGTAGAATGTGGAAAATCTTTTGGTTATAAGGAGCTACTCTGGAGTCATCAAAAAATTCACACAGGGGAGAAGCCATATCAATGCGTGGAGTGTGGGAGATTTTATCGTACCACTTCAGCCCTTAGAAGTCATGTGAACATTCACACAGGGGAAAAAAATTATAAATGTTTAGACTGTGGGAGAACATTTGCTCGGTCATCTCTCCTCAGAAGTCACAGCCGAATACATACCGGAGAGAAGCCCCATAAATGCTCGGAGTGCGATAAATGTTTTTCCCAGAAAATTACTCTTTTGAAGCATCAGAGTATCCACACCAGAGAAAAACCATATAAATGTCTGGAGTGTGGAAAATCTTTTGCGCAACCTTCAACAGTTTGCGTGCACACTGTAAATCATGCAGGAGAGTGACCTTACAAGTGTGTGGAGTGTGAGAAACCTTTTCATTGTAAATCACAGTTAAAAATGCACCAGAAAGGCCACAGCAGAGATAAATCTCTTCAGTTGGGAACAACATTGGGAATACTTTTTTTCAATAATCACACCTCACAGTTCAGCAAAATCTTCACAAGCGAAATCCTACAATTGTTGGTTGTGGGAAAAATATTTTTCCTAGTCAAGTAACCTTAAATACCAATAGGGAGTAGATAATCTAACAAAAGTACATCCATGTTAGGAATTTAAGAAGGTTCGCCTCACAAGCAGAAGTAGTAGTATCTTACCAGACCGAGTTACAAGTGTTGGGCAATGTAGATTATGTTTTGCAGCTAGTCCTTGAGTTATGATTACAATTAGGAACCAGATTCCCGGTCATAGATTTATACAGTCATACTTTATGGCGCCTGTTATAAAAATAATTCAGTAAAGGAAATACACAGACAAACCACAAGCAATAATTCTTACTTTGAGATCAGAGGTTTATTTCATGAGCAATTTGGAACATGAAAAGCCATCATAACATAACAACATTTCTAGTAACAACAACCCATTGCAATGAGGTCCAGAGATAGCAGCTGACTCCAAAGAGGGTAGCTACCATCGGTGGCCCCCATTTGAGATTTACCCCCTTCTTTTATACCCTTCTTCCTGTGAAGCTCACCCAGTGGTATGTAATCATAATGGCTGTACTTCCCTATTCCTCCATACTGTCCATCACTTAATATCCACTTATAGGTATATGCCAACTCCTTCCCAATCGCTCACCATCTGCTACTTTCAGTTCCCCTTTTTCTCAATGTCCCAGACATTCGTGATCCAAAATTGCTCTTATTTTTGATTGTCCAGTAAATATCTGCTTTTTTGCAGAAGTAGCAGATAGTAACGTATTACGAAGCTTGCAAAATCTCATCAAATTACAAATATTTCACCATGGTTGCAAAATCAGTTCAGCCAGAGGTTATTATATCTTGTTAATTTGAGGCCTTCAATTAAGCAGAGGCCTACACCAACTTTGGGGCCTAGTTGTCTTCCTCTCGTATACCCATATGAGCAGATCTAATTTTATGACATTTTTTTTGTGGTGAATAAGCAATAAGCAGTCCCTAAGTGTGAAGCCACTTCTCCAAATTTGCATTTTTTTTGCTACAAGTGTCTAAAAACCTGCAAATTGTGATCCGACGGCTGCAAGATTATGGAACTGGTTGCAAAAGCCAGCTGGTTGCCAAGTGCTTGTAATGTGGTCACATAACAGTGGGAAGGGAGGGCGTTTTACAATGGCCAGAATTGGTTTATGAGCCATAAACCCTTGAACTGTTAAGTGATTTTGTAATTTGAGCAGGGGTGGGCTTCAAAATTTTTAGCAAGGGGTTCTCTGCCCAGTTGCTGGATGGGCATGGCTATGGTGGGCGTGGCCTAGTCAGCCGCCTGCACCATGGTTCCGGAGGCTTTCCTTGAACTTCTGGGAGAGTGAAAACCTCTCCGGGCTCTGGAGGCTCTCTGGAAGCCAGAAACAGGCCCATTTCTGGCCTTCCCGAACTTCCGGGAGGCCCGTTTTTTGCTCTCCCCAAGCTTCCATACGCGCCCTGCACTTTCCTGCATCCAAAATGGGCCATGTGGGGACTCCTGGGAAAGGTGGGGTGGGCGGGGACAGCCAGGAGTGGGATTTGGGGGTTCTCTGAACTGGACAGAATCTTAGGGACTCTCCCGAACCCCTGCAAACCCCCAGCAGCCCACTCCTGAATTTGAGGACTACCTGTAAGGAAACCTTGATAAACCCTGAAACATTCACAAAACGGGCGAAATTTTATAAATGTTTGGAGTATTCTAGAATACTTCCCCGAGACCTCAAAGAATCCAGAAGAAAAAGAAATCATGTGTTTGGTGTGTGTGAAATATTTTTCTGGAATGTCTTACCTGGGTCTGCAGGTAAAAATGCCCTTGTTAGGAATGTAAGTCACCTAACAGTTAGTTGGGTTGGAAAATATATAAACCAGGATAGACATTTTAATACTGTCTCTCTAAGGCAGGGGTTCCCAACCTGGGGTGCGAGACGATATTCCAGGGGGTGTGAGAAAAGTCCAGGTAAATAATAGGATATTGGCTATATGTTGGCATTTTTATTTATTATTTATTTCAGGGGGTGCGAGGTTCGAATGAAATTTCTTTAGGGGTGTGGGGCGAAAAAAAGGTTGGAACCACTGCTCTAAGGCAGGGGTCCCCAACCACCGGTCCGCGGACTGGTACCGGTCCGTGGAACAAATCCTACCGGGCCGCTGGTATGCTGGGCGCCGCCATCTTTTTTTGATGAAAAAGTGCTTCCGATGAGCTCGTGCGTCCGGTGAGCTCACCGGAAGCACTTTTTCATCAAAAAAAGATGGCGGTGCCCAGCTGATGCCGGTACCGGGCCGCGGCGCCCAGCTGATGCTGGTACCGGGCCGCGGCGTAGAAAAGGTTGGGGATCACTGATGTAAATGGTTTAAAGATCTAAATAAGCCACCAACATATTAAAGCCTCAATTGACTGAAAGGCCTTGTTTCCATGTTATGTTAGGTCTGGGCTTGTATGCTTGGAGATTTTTTTGCTCTTCTTTTATTGCTGTAAGGGAACCTTCCAAAGAAGTCTTCAGTTTTCACTCAAAGGAACTGCATTAACAGGAACAGAATCAAGAACACATGACTTTCCACTGCTTTTTAAGGCCTCGGTAAGACCATAGTTGCATCCATTTTTGGTCACCACAATATAAGAAAATAGAATAACAGAGTTGGAAGGTACCTTGGAGGTCTTCTAGTCCAACCCCCTGCTTACGCAGGAAACCCTCTATCTGTCAACTCATGAAACATCCATATGCCTGTTTTCAAGTTGCCATAAACAAGGCGGGGAGAGAGAAATCTGAAGGAGCAGTACGGCAGTAAAACCAGAAGTACATTCCACCATTATTGTCAGCCTTCAAGAATCCTTCTGCTTGTCTTTCCGGCTGCCATTGAAAGGGAGGCGGGGAGATTAATTGGGCTATGTGTGTGTGTGTGGGGGGAAGAGTGCTGGAGGCTTGAGAGGATGAACTGTAATACTTGGGAAAACTTTCTTGACTATGCTTACTTGCTTACTGCAGCAGCTGTAGCTTCTTATCTATCCAGGCCAAGGTCAACCACCATGGGAAGCCAGATGTCTGAAACTCCACAGTTCTTTATGTTTTAGCCTCCAGTCCCGATTATCTTTGTTGCTGTTCTCTGCGCTATTTCTAGAGTCTCAACAGCTTTTTTTTACATTGTGGCGACCAAAATGTGAATGCAGTATTATTCCAAATGTGGCCTTACTAAGGCATTATAAAGTGGTCTTAACACACGCCATGTGATCTTGATTCTATCCCTCTGTTAGGGTTGAGATATTGAGACTCTGGAAAAAGTGGGAAAAAAAAGCAAAAAAAAAGATGATTAAGGGACTGAAGGCTAAAACATAAAAAGAATGGTTGCAGGAATTGGGTATGTCTAGTTCAGGGGTAGGGAAAACTTGGCCCTTTTATCACTTATGGACTTCAACTCCCAGAATTCCTGAGTGAGCCATAAAAGGTTCTCCATCCCTGGCCTACTGGTTTTTCAGTTGTGGGGGAAATCAATTTTTGACTTGAATGGGACTGTTTAATATACAAATGTCCTAATTTTTGACTTGAATGGGACTGTTTAAAATATAAATGCCCTACATTTGTATATTAAACAGTCCCATTCAAGTCAAAATTTGATTTCCCTCACAACTGAAAAACCAGTAGGCCAGGGATGGGGAACTTTTTAGGGCTCACTCAGGAATTCTGGGAGTTGAAGTCCATAAGTGATAAAAGAGCCAGGTTTCCCTACCCCTGGTCTAGTTTACTGAAAAGGACTAAGGGTGATAGAATAGCATTATCCCAATATCTAAGGGATTGCCACAAAGAAGAGGGAAGTTCACCTAGTCCCCAAAGCATCTGAAGGAAGAACAAGTTGTAATGGATAGAAACTAATCAAGGAGAGAACCAACCTAGAATTAAACGTCATGACAGAATATTTAATCCGTGGAACAACTTGCTTCTATAAGTTGTGGGTGTTCCAATACTGGAGGGTTTTAAAGAAGAGACTGGACAATCATTTGTCTGAAAATGGTAGAGGGCCGTGATGGCGAACCTGTGGCACGTGTGAGCCATTTGTGCCAGCACGCGAGCCACAGGCAAACTTACCTCACTGCGCATGCACGCACCTCACTGCTGATTTTCAGCTGGTTTGAGGCCTTTTTCAGCCTCCAAGTGGCTTGAAAAAAAGCCTCTGCAGGCTTTGCAGGCCGAAAAATAGGCCCGTTTTGTCACTTCTTATAATACCGGAAGTGACAAAACAGGCCTATTATTTGTCCTGCAAAACCTGCAGAAGCCTTCCTCAATCTTCTGGGAGGCTGAAAAAGGCCTCAAACTGGCTGAAAATCGGCTGTGAGGTGCAGTGCAGGAAAGGGGGCAACAGGGGTGGGTGGGAATTGCGCATGCATGAGTAGGGGGTGTGGGGGCGCGCATTGCCTTCTGGGTGCTGACACGAGAGCGTGAGTGTGCATTAGCCACCACTGTCCTATATGATTTCAGACAAGTGATCAGTCTCTTCTTAAAAACCTCCAGTGATGAAGCACCCACAACCTCTGATGGGAAGCTGTTCCACTGGTTAATTGTCCTCACCGTTAGGAAGTTCCTCCTTAATTCCAGGTTGCTTCTTTCCTTGATTACTTTCCATTCCTTGTTTCTTCTGCCTTCTGGTGCTTTAAGATTTTTTTTACAGACAGCTAAGCATATCAGTCTCCTCATTGTCAGAATAACAAAATTGGAAGAGACCTTGGAAGTCTTCTAATCCAACCTGCTGCTCAAGCAGAACCTCCTATATCAGTGATGGTGAAGTTTTTTGTTGTGGTGTGCCAAAAGCATACACATGCTGGCACCCACAATGCAATGCGCCCCCCTGCGCATGCACATGCAACATCCCCGCCCCCTTACCTGCACTGCTCATGCGCATGCCTCCCAGCTGATTTTTGGCCCATTTGAGGCCCATTTTTGCCCTCTCGTAGGTTCGCGGGAAGCCTCTGGAAGCTGAAAACAGGCCCGTTTCAGCACTTCTGGTATTTCCGGGAGGCCCGTTTTTCAGCCTCCCGAGGCTGAGGAGGGTTCCCTCAAGCCTCCGGGAGGGTG